CGGGGCGGGGCTCCACGTTTGCACAGCGCTGCATGTAAACACGCCGCCACTCCAAGCGCCGATGACGAAATGGGACCGCCCTAAAGCCCGGGATGGATAAAGGAAGATATGGATACATGTGACACACGAATGCGGCTGTGTGTTTTGGGCTGCGACGTCGGTCGCGCGGCTTCTGCGAGCGCCGCTCTGAGCGACCATTGGCTGCGGGTGGAGGGGGAGAGGTCACTCAAAAGTGCGGCAGCGGGGGAAAAAAGCTTGGACAAGATTGTCGTTCCATCAGCCCCCCGAGTGCGGCTTCTATGTCGGCTGAGGTTCGTTGATTTTCGAAGGACGGAAAATCCACAGTGGCCATGTTATATTTGCTGCACATAAAGGAACCGCGGCTGTCTGGAAAATTATATATCCTCTTGCTATTCTCTCTCTAATCAGTTAACATAATTTACATAACCGAGAACACCTCATGTAAAGGATAAAAGTTTACGTGGACCGTTGTTGCGGCTAATATCGGACAGCTCCCTCGGGGTAAATAAGGTAGTTAAAATTTAATGGCAGCATTGACACTCCATAGAATGCCTCCTAATAAAACTCTTTACACTTACAACTCATGTAGAGGATGGGTCAATGGATAAAACTATAAGTGATAGAGCATTACAGGCAAATGACTGAATATCTTTGAGGCAAATATTAACAAAAAACACTAATGACGTTTATCTACGGAAAGGATGTTCTACACTAATTCAATTTATCTTATAGTTCGCCAACCTGCATTAACTCGTTGTGTTCACTTTACCTCGTCCGACTTCATTCGACGTCTTTAACTTTCTTCAGCCCACTGCTTTCACACTTGAAAAATATTAATTGGTTCTGCAATCATCGATATCCGTTGATGGGTTGAAAGGCAAAGACGATGGAAGACAAGTCACAGAATCATGATAAAAAACGACGCTACTTTCTTGGCTACTTCAGGTTCTTAAGCCGCAAACAGATCAATAGTACTGTAAAGTACTAGAGATAGACGTACCCAATGAAGAAAAGAATATCAAATATTAAATTCGGTTGAAGTTGAGGAAAGGTTCGTGATTTATTGCGAGCCTTCACCAATCGCGCACAAAGCAGGGACATTCTCTCTGTCTCGGTTTCTCGTCAAGTGATCATCATTTACGAACAGTATTATTGCACCCCTCTGTAAAAAAAATGCACTTCTTGGTGATAGGCATTCTGATGAGTCAGGCACATACATTATTTAAATTGACGCACATTTGATACAGTTGTGGTTACGAGCTTCAATGGAGGTTTTAAAGGAGCGAAAGTGAAAAGTGATAAAGAAACTAGCAAAAAATTAATTTCTTCTCTAAAACTGCACAATCCTCGAAACGTTTTGAATATCAGTTTACTTTTGTTACTGAATTTACTTATTACATAGTATGCTGTATCTATGTATAAGTATGTATATTCTGTATTGTATATTCTGGCAATACAGCCCGTGGTGCCTAGGTCCTGGCATGGTAATAATACTAATTATTAATCTAGAAACACAGACTCTTTCAAACCTCTTAAGTAAAAGGAAGTCACACGGAATTTCTGTACATAAAGAAATACCAATTTATGAAAAACGAACTAACATTTCTATTATTGCTATTTGACCACATATTAATTCTTGTGGATTAATAAACGAAAGGAAGACAGAACAAACAATTTTGTAACCAACAGTTGCGTACCTTTCCTATGTTCAACACAACAATAATATATAGGTTCCATTGTTGCATTGCCCCGATTCACATTAATATTCCTTTATACTCCCCCAGTAATTCAATTAAATCGCTATTTACTTCGCAGCAATGTACATTGATTCAAGAATGGTAGATGAGTATTACAAAATTTGTAAAACGTCTAGTTTAAGACAATAATGCGAGTATCGTGGCCTCAAATAAAAGAAGATAAAGAAAATGGAAAAAGAATTGTGGGTAATTTGTAAATACAAGACAATATAAATAAGCATCTGATAAACTTAAACAGAAGAACTCTTTTTAAGTTTATTATATACTTTGTTGTTTTCCAAAGTTTAAATTCTAACTTCATAGTGTTTGCGCGCATGTTGTGTGGGTGTACAAGTAAAGTTTAATACGTGTGTAAGTGTGTGTGAAGGTTGCAAAGAATAAAGCTTAAAATTTCTGATAAAAGCAACTTTAAAACAGTAGGCAATAGTGTAAACTTTTCAGGTAAAACAAAATACTGTTAGGTAAATGTATCACTTATTCTAAAGGTAAATACTGTGCTCAATGCCACTTTTATGTAAAAAGACTATATAGAAATCCTTCCCACCTTTGCCCTCAATGGAACTGATTAGCTTTCAATAAAGTGTTCATGATTCTTGGTAAGGTAAGTTTACTACAGCTATAAATTACATTATTCTTCCACAGTGGCTCCAATTAACTGTTCATTCTTTTCCACAACTGAGAAAAGAAGTTTCGACATTTTGATACAGATTTTGTTTCATATATTGTTCTATATCATATTTACTCATTGTTAATATCAATGTTTAATAACTGTCATGATATCTAGATTACCACGTGAACAAGAGGGAGAGTTCGATATGAAAAATCTACAAGATAAGGATATCTGATATCAAACTAGCTGAGCCTTAAATTTGAAACCAAAACCCTGTGGTGACCTGATAACGAGATTCCCGCTAATCTGCAACGCACATGGTTGATTTCATGGAAAGGCGTTACGGCATAGGACACACGTAGACATGCACTCCTATAAACACAGAGAGGCGTATGTACGCAGGCCCCCCCACACAGCTAGTACCCAAACTCCAAGGTATGAGCAAATACACATGATCAAGGAGACGTGTTCCGAACGTACCCCCACACAGAAACTGGTCATATTGACATTTCCAGAGAAGCCCTGAAAGTCCACAAGAGATATAGTACATTTTCCAACAGTCTTGGATTTTGAGTTTTAAAGACAGAGGAGTCTTATACAAACTGAGGATGTTCGCAAAATAATATAATTTAACACTGCCGTTCAAAAAATAGGTCAACTTTAATTCCTGTCATTTCCAGGGATATTGCCACTTACATATAAATTAGTCATTGATAATTATGACATAAAGTAGGTAACATATCTTAAAGATAGTTGACCAGAACGTACGTTTATAGATCAAATCACTTTATATTTGGGCGCGATATTAACGAGTACGCTCAGAACAGGACAGTTCTCCAGCAAAATGAACAGTATTGAAACGTATGAATTTTCTGCGATAAGAATGTAACATGGATTGCCCAATTTAACCTGGAATTTGAAACTATGACAACGACTACGAGGACACCCACGGTAGAGAAGAAAGGTCATGTGATTTTCTTTATTCTAATGACAACATTAAATCAATGGTTTGTTGGGGGTAATATTCGACTGTCGCGCATTTATACGCGGTAATAAAATAGTTTGTCATATCGTCGGTCACCCATAAAAATGAGATATCGAAGTAGCACCATTTGAAGTAAGGAAATAAATATATTTTCATATAATTTGTTTTTGTCGTATTGTAGTAAAAAAATATTAAATTATTCACAAGTCAGTCAGTATATTCAGTCGTCTCAGAATAAACTTTACAAAAAGTAGGAATGTGCAGGAAAGGCAGAGATAATCTCTTTTTCCCGCATGTGGTGCACTGAGAACATGTGGTGTATAATTTGATATAAATTATCTACATATGTAGCATTTTTCCCTGTCGTGTAGGCAACCCACTATGCTCAGATGCTAGGCAGGACGCGTTTTGTCCAAGCCCGAGAGATTTCTCTTTCCTGTCGAACAGGTATGCATGATGGGTAGCCCACCAAACAGGGGCAAATGACACATGTGTAACTACGTTCTATGAAATATACATGATTATTGGCAAAACCGATTATATTTGGTCTCGTATGCCTGTACGTTTATAACATTCATTCCGAGTCAGCTGAAAGACGTCTTCATATATAGAATTGCAGATGAAGAGTACAAAAATGTGTATAAATAAATAATCAGTTTCTCATTAACCGTGGCATAAACGGCTCTTCAAACAGATCTCCAGAAAAGGAATATATTGGAGATGTGGCATTTCGATAACACATGTGATGAGCTTGGCAGGAGACTCACGTGACAGCTCGAAGGCGACGCGGCGCGCGACGGCCGGCATGTGGCGCGCGAGGGCAGGCGTGAGGCCCGACGGGCGAGCGCGGCACTCAAGCCCCGCGCCCCACAGCTCGCGCGTCACCGTCGCCACCAGCAGCACGTTGACGGCGACGGAGGCGTTGCGCGCGTCCACCGACGCGTCGATCAGCTCCCCGTTCAGCCACCACTCCACCTCCGGCGGCGGCCGCCCTGCGGAGCAAGCACACGCTCAGTCAGCCGCTTGGACACGGGATCCCTACACATCGCCATTCAGCCACCACTCCACCTCAGGCGGAATAAGCACACGCTCAGTCAGTCGCTTAGACACCGGATCCCTACACATAGCACAATCGCCATTCAGCCACCACTCCACCTCAGGCGGAGTAAGCACACGCTCAGTCATCCGCTTGGACACGGGATCCCTACATATAGCACAACCGTCATTCAGCCACCACTCCACTTCAGGCGGTGGCCGCCCTGAAGAGCCAGCTCACGCTCAGTCAGCCGATGGACACGGGATCCCCACACATAGCACAATTGCCATTTAGAAACCATTTCAGCTCTGGCGCTGGCCGCCCAGCGGAGCAAGCACACGCTCAGTCAGCCGCTTGGGCACAGGATCCCTACACATCGCCATTCAGTAACCACTCCACCTGAGGCACCAACAATTGCACAATCGGTGGTCCGCCACCACTCCACCTGCGGCACCGGCAGCCCTGCGGAGGAAGCACACTCAGGCTCAATCAAGCCTTTGACACAGGATCCGAAAACCTATCAGCGAAGGCGTTGGTATTGCAAAAATTGCACAAATTATTCCGTTCAACGACCACAATCTCTGGCAGTAACTACTCAGGCACAGAGACGTAGTCATCGAATCACACGGACATTCAGAATCCCAAGAGAAGCAACGAAGGCGTTGGAACGACAAAAATTGCACTTGCAATTTTGATCACCGTTCAGCAACCTCGATCTCCGGCGGCATTCGCCGTGGCAAGAGACCCAGACGCATAGTCATCGAATCACTTGAACACATTCACAATCCCCATGACACGACAGCGAAAGTATTATTCTGAAGGGAAAGTGATGTTATTCGTTACAATTAAAATTGAATTTTTTTATAAAAATCCATCGTCTTCATAGATCAGAAACTTAATTTCTAATTAACATTTCTGTGAACGATTTTTTTTAATTTTTACTGAAATTCAATCATGAGCATGCAATCATTCAGATGATCATGAGCTGAGGAATCGTCTTCTATATGAATATACTAAATTAGGTTCACGGATATTTCTCTGAAAGGAAACCCAATTCAAAAAAAATATTTTTCAATAATCACTTAAGACTTATTTCCATTGGGAAATCTATTAACTCACGAGAAAAATATGAACATTGGATAATGAACCCCCTATCAGTTACATTTGTCATATGATAGGAAGTCTGGTTTGACATTTGCATTACAATTGATATAATTATTCAGTTCCTACAAGATAATTTTACATGAAGAGAAGTCTGTACTAATTAAATGGTGCATCTGCGTTTTGAATCAGAATCGAGAAAAGAGATGCAAAATTGGTTGTGATTCTCTCCTGTGACAGTGTGAATGCTACAAGCTGGCCATCACGATGCCTCGCTATTGATATTCCAAAGCTCTCTGATTCGTATTGTTTGCAATGCCAAAACAAATGTTTAGTGAATGAAAGAAAGATTGGAAACAATTTTAAAATATCACAGAATATTTATTATTGATTGTCAAACCTCTTCATAAATCATTTTGTGAACCGTGACATGTGGTTGCTATTGGCAAGTATTCTGTTTCTCCGTTAAAAAAAGTCGTTTGTTGTTAATGCTGCTGTCGATTTCAGACACAAATGAAATACTGTTTAACATGTTCTGCGTATATATGACGAAGTTTCAAAGAAGAAAGTGTTATACGGCGCAATTATAAAGATGGAAAACTTACGATATTAACAACAACTCAAATGTAAATAGCTTCTGCTCCTGTTCATCATACATTCGATAGGAATAAAACTTTAATGTGCGTATTGTTCTAATAAGCTTCGATGAATGAAAAAATGAGTAAGTTTAAAACAACGTAGTACATAATAACAATTCGTGAAAAGTGACTGTATTATTGAAAGCACTACTCGTTTAATGCATGGGGTCTGAGAGTCGTAGTTTAATATCGTGTACCATAGCTGTTAGAATATTTTCGAAAGCAGAGACCCTTATATTTTAAACATGAGTGATTTTCAATTTTATATA